AGCCCTCCCTCCCCAGAAGATCCCACCACACTGCCACAGCTACTCACCTGTGTTGCTACTCTGAGTAGCTGCTCCGCAAATCAAGAGTGCAAATTTAAAATTAGTGTGCAGGCGTGCAGTTCAGAGGGAGCTGAAGATTGACTCAGAGCCCCTGCGATCAACAGATAGATCGTGATCTACCGGTTGGTGACCACGGAGGAAGCCCTCCCTCCCCAGAAGATCCCACCACACTGCCACAGCTACTCACCTGTGTTGCTACTCTGAGTAGCTGCTCCGCAAATCAAGAGTGCAAATTTAAAATTAGTGTGCAGGCGTGCAGTTCAGAGGGAGCTGAAGATTGACTCAGAGCCCCTGCGATCAACAGATAGATCGTGATCTACCGGTTGGTGACCACGGAGGAAGGGTATTCTTTCAATTAAAACAAACTTGATTACTTACCAATTCCATGATGGTGATATAGCATAGATGAAACACCATCAAACCGGAAGCCATCAAAGCCATATTCTTTTATCCACCATCTCAAATTAGAGAGAAGGAATCTCAAAACTTCCCAACTAGAACAAAAATAAGAACAGTTTCTCAACTTTTCAACATGTCAACATACATTTCCTAACACAATGTATTCTCTAATATTATTACCAGCTATATTCTAATTGCTGTTGTATTATCATAATGAACATAACATTCATCATCATTTTCCAAATACAAATTCAATCCAACAAAAAGATTCTTACTTTAACAATAATATGCCATTTTAAGATGGAGCAAGATAGTCATTTCTAAAACAAATTTAGCCTAATTCAGTATAACATCCTAATCTAGGTATACCTTCCTATTAACCATATTTTGAGAAGCAAATAAAAGTAACTCCAGAGAACAGGGTTTATTTTATATTTGAAAAATCAGAACCAAAACTTCATACTAGCTAAGGCTTAGCTCCACCCTAAATGTGTGCATCCTATAGTGCTAACCTTCTTGCTTGCCTATATACATGTATTATTTCCTTATAGTTATCATTATATGTTCATTATAATAAGCTACAGTAAGTTTATATTGGCATTTGGCTGTAACACAAAAGAGACTTACAGGCCACATCCTGTATGTTGAGCTAAAGCGAAGTTAGTATTTTTGTCTGGGACCTTTGATCTGGATAGCTCATGTATGTTTGGGACCTTTCTCCTAAGTAGATGGTGATAAGATAGAGTGACTTTCCAAGATACAGAGTTTGGGTTAGGCACTTCCAAGAATATCCTCAAACATAGCAGGTACATCATTACTTAGACTACCCCCAAAATAACCAGTGGAGACCAGACTGTATAACCAGGAAGGACAGAAATAATAAATGTAATAGGACAACCACAAAAGGCCCATGGTAACAAATTGATGAATATGATAATAAGTTGAGATCAATGATATCCTGGCCTATTGCAAAAGACATTTCACCATGAGGAAGGTGAGGAAATACAAATAAGGAGAAAAGGAAGCATCCCTTACTGAATATGCATCAAACAGAACAAGTTCAGCATAACATATGAAAGTAGAATCCCAGCTTACAGGTGGTAGGAGGAGGAGATGTAGTCCTTGGGAGGTGCCAGAATAATGGCCACTGGTGATGATGGGGAAGGTGCAAGAAATGAGGAAGAGGATGGTTAATACCTCGGGTTGTTCTAGGAGGAATGGTGTGAGTATATGGCATGGAAATAGAGAGGTACATTTCCTATTTATCTTTTGCAATTGGAGTGTTTGTGAGAGTCTTAAATATATTAATAAACTATGTTTGCAAATATACAAGAGCTCCTATAGTGAGAGTGTTGCACCTATGCACATCAGGGTTCCCAACCATAGAATAACTCAGTGGTCCCCAACCTTTTGAGGTTGTCGGGCGCCAGGGGGCGTGGCCGTTTGCCCGCCGGGCGCCAGGGGGCGGGGACACTTGCGTGCCCGGGGGCGGCCCCCCCATATCAGTGTGCCCAGGGTGGGGCCCCCCCCATAGCTGCATGCCCGGGGTCGGTGCCCCCTCTAAGGGCCACATGCCCGGGGCTGGCGCACCCCCAAAGCACCGCGCGCCCGGAGCTGGCGCTCCCCCCCAAGTGCCATGCGCCTGGGGCCGGTGCTCCCCCCCTCCAAAGCACCGCGCGCCTGGGGCTAGCGCCCCTTCCAAATGCCGCACACCCAGGGCCGGCACGCCTCCCCTCCCCCCCCCAAGCACCATGCGCCCGGGGCCGGCTCCGGCACCAGCACCGGCACCATGCATGCGCCACGTGCCCAGGGCCAGGCCAGCCCCGAGCACTTGGTGGGCGCACACAAATGCCCCCGGGGCCCCCGCCAAGCGCGCTCCCCCCCCGCAAGCGCCCGTGCGCCATGTGCCCGGGGCCAGGCCAGCCCGGAGCACCTGGCGGGCACCGTGTTGGGGACCACGGGAATAACTGAATACACGGCCTGATCCTGGGACAAATGACCTATCAACTCTAAAGGTGGTAACTGGAAATTTATAAGCAGTCTTAGATCAGACAACATACATTTCTATGATTTTTAGATCAAAAGGAAGCAAAAACTTCTGATATTAAAATAATTTTAAAAATTCATGTTTAGCATTTAGAACAGAGGTGGGGAACCTAAGGTCTGGGGGCCGGATTCCGTACCCCGCTTGCCTAGATCCAGCCCCTGGAGCTCAGGATTCCCCCCACCAGCATTGGGTAGCCTGCACTGGTACCCCAAAATCTACTAGTATGAAATCCCCTAAGCTTTGGTGTGCAAAGCAAATGTGGGTCAGTGACCTCTGACCCAAAAAAGATTCCCCAGTTTAGAAGAAGGAAGCCACCAACCATTATAATGTTAACATCAGGTGAACTTTTGGATCACAGCAGTTCCTTAAAATAATTTAATATGACACACTAACATAGTTAAATGTTGTATTTGTTTGGCAAAAAAACCCAAAAAACCACAAGACATCAACAATTAAATTTTGTTTGCATGCAACCGGTGATGGACTGGTTTTTTAGTACTGAATATTTTACATAAGGATTTTAATTTAAAAGATATTTTCTAAATTGTACTGTTAGATTACTACTGAAAGCACCAAGTTCAGTTGAGTATAAATTGGTGTTTCACCTGTAGAGATTTCTACATGTTCACAAAAAACCTTATTTGGCAGTTTCTGTGATCACTTCCGCTCTAATCCTATCTATCTGCCTAAAATACTTTAAGACATTTTCAAAAGAGTAAACAAAATTTTCAAACAAACACAAAATAAACAAATATACAAAAACAAGAGCTGACCCATCCTTGAAAGAACAAGGGAAAATACTAAGAGAATAGATATTTAAATTTATACAGGCACATTAAACAAAAAAAAGTTAGCTAAATCAATTAAATAGTTTCACCTTAGTCTCCGACTATACCGCATGTATTAGGGATACTCTTCTCCCTTTCTCCTTGTTACCGTCTGACAAAATTACAGCTTGGCTTCATTAGTCACCTTCTCAGATGTATGTCTGTGCCCTTAAACCACATTCTCTTCCCTACAGTCTATTCACAGACGGCCTGGAACATCATTCTTCCTCTCCAAGCAAACTATTCAGCCAGCCTGCTTGTCTGATTTATTATTCCATAAACATCTTTGGAAATTTTCCTGTATAAAATCTAACTTTTTCTACCTTATGCCTATTTACTCCATTTCCCCACATCACAAAACTACTAGACAGGTTTATATATTTCAAGAACTAGACTGAACATGGCAAACTGTAATGGAAATGTGCAGGACACAGCTATGTGGGGGGAAACAACATCACTGGGATAGGACAAGTCAGTGACTGAAGAATCCTGACCCTATTGAAATCAGTGGCAAAACTCCCATTGCCTTGAATGGGACATGAATGTTACTAACTTTTTTCATACAAAAGTACCTACCTGAAAAATTGTTGCAGATTCAAGCACTGATGAGTTAGAAAAATGCCAAGGACCCCCTATAATTGTGAAAATACATTACGATACCTTCTTGAATAAAAGGAGCAAATGCCTTCAACAATATACACAAACCCCCTCTGCCTCATTCCATTTTAATAAAGACCTTTTCTAGGGATCAATCAGGGTTGTGTAGTACATAAGGCTGTCTACAGACTATTGTCTAATTTCTTGCATGGACTGATGAGGATTCAGAGAAGAGCTGGAGGAGTGATTAAAGATTAGAAAGCATGCTTTCTAATGAGATGAACACAATCTATTTAGCTTAAAAAAAGTTACGCTTGACTTGATTACACTCTAGAGAAGTACTCACATAGGAACCAAAAATTTTACATAGTAGAAGGTTCTTCCATTTAAAAGATAAAGGCACGAAACAATCCAGTGGCTGGAGGTTGAAGCTAGACAAGAGTTAGACTGGCAATACAGCGCCTACTTATAACACTGAAGGTTTGGAACTATTTACTCAGTATGATGGTGGAGTCACCAGCACAAGTAACTGTTAAATCAAGAGTAGATAGTTATTCATTTGTTTACAGGTAAGTTTAGCTCAAGAGAAATTATTTTGGGAAGTCTGGTGTTCTGTGTTATGCAGAACATAATGGTCCCTTCTGGCCTTGCCTCTAAAAAGATATACAGGGAATGATGCAGGAGATTGCTGGAAGAGCCGCTGGTCTAATGATTAATGCTGCCTTGAGGAACTGGATGTTAGAAGTCTTAAATAAATTTAGGCACTTCACTTAAACCAAACTATCCATGAAGATCACTAATTAAATGATCCAAACTTAAGACCTTGAAGTGAAATTTGCAGAAATATTGAGTATATCATACATACAGATGTGTAAATTAGGAATAGAAAACATGAAAAGAGAAACAAAATTAAGTGATACATTTTAAATATAAGAGACATTGGCTGGAAAAAACCCACAAGTTTAAGAGGACTTTTGTGAAGATTATCAGTGAGGAAAATATCAGAAGCCATACTATCCTTCAGAGCAGGGGAGGCCAACCCATGGCTCACGAGACGCAAGCGGCTCTTCACCCCCCTCACTCCCCCACACCCTTACAAACAGCCCCTGGCTCTCTGTGCTCATCGGGTTCAGGGGAGCTATCCTGTGCCACAAAATGATGTTGGAAAGATGGTGGGGGCCTGATGTGGCCAAAAAACCTAATCCGCAATTTTTAAAGGGGCAGCGTTTTGTGTTTGTTTTTGTTTTGCTCAACAATTTTGGTGCAGCTCCTCACGTTTTTTCTGCCGCTGTTTCAGCTCTCTTCATCTAATGGGTTGGCCACCCCTGCTTTAGAAACCTCATTGAATAAGGAAAAAAATAAGCTCTGAAGTCTCCAAATGAGACATCTCCAAAATAATAACAAATAATGCAAAGCATTTATTTAAATGCAGCAAGATAGCTCAACGTGTGGCTCTCTACTTCATTTAAAGAAATTTGCAGATGGGTTTGTGAACAGTGATAAAGAAAGAAAAATGGTCCTGGAGGAAAGAATACAGAACTTCGTTAGGCTCTGGCAGAGACCAATTACATAACAGACAAAAACAAGATGCCACATTAGCAACACTGTTTACAGCCCTAAGAAT